CATCGTTCCTGGACACACATTCATGCGTGAACTATGATCAGCGTGCCCTGAACTGTATCTGTGTATGCGAGTGCGGTGCATAAAGCCCACCTTGAGAATGGGTTTGCTGGCCCCTTAGTAGATGCGTGGCTTCTGAAGAGGGTGTTGAAGGGCATCCAACGATGCCATGGTACGGCTGCACTCACCCCTCGCCTTCCTATAACTATGCCAATCCTACGACACCTGACGGATGCACGCCGGAAAAGTAGTATCCTGAATGGCCATGACAAGCTGCTCTGCCAAGCCGTCATGCTGCTTCTTTGGATTTCTTCGGTGCGCTGAATTCACTAATGGCATCACACGGGGCTGTACTAGCTCCCCTGGTGACGGACGCCTGCAACTCTTCCTGCTTTCATCCAAGACGGACCCATTCGGTAAAGGCGTTACTAGTGACATTGGCCCGTCTGTACCGCCGTACTGCCCGGTCCGTGCCATTGTTAGCTACCCATCTGTCACTCGTCGCGAGGGACCGGAGCAACTCTTGTTCGTACTCTCGAACAGACAGCAGCTGACCAGGCAGTCATTCACAGTAACAGTATGGTCTCTTGTCTCTGCGGCCGGTGTACCATCCCAGTCGAACTACTCCGGGCATTCGGTCCACATTGGTGCAGCCACCACTGCTGCTATGGCTAGTGCCCCCGACTCCTTCTTCCGAGTGGCAGGTCAGTGGAAAGAGCGATGCGTGTCTACGCTACATCCAGACTACAACAAGCGCATACCGCCAGCTATCATCCCGGCTTGCTGCCGTGCCATGGATGCCATGATCCCCAACTCGGGTGAGTAATGAGCTACTGAACTCTAGCTGCGCAATGCTTGCTTGTGCTGACATTAATTGACCCTTGCGGTGCGTCAATAGTGCTTAGCTAACGGAGTGCTGGTTTCATGGGTCCACTCTCACAACTGGTGTTATCTAGCTATTTGCTGCGGCTCTGCCTTGCGCTATATTACATCCATTTAGCATTGCAGCTCTACGTTGAGCTAACAGCAGCTCTACTTTGAGCTAACAGCAGCTCTACTTTGAGCTAACAGCAGCTCTACTTTGAGCTAACCGCAGCTCTACTTTGAGCTAACAGCAGCTCTACTTTGAGCTAACAGCAGCTCTACTTTGAGCTAACCGCAGCTCTACTTTGAGCTAACAGCAGCTCTACTTTGAGCTAACAGCAGCTCTACCTTGAGCTAACAGCAGCTCTACTTTGAGCTAACAGCAGCTCTACTTTGAGCTAACAGCAGCTCTACTTTGAGCTAACAGCAGCTCTACTTTGAGCTAACAGCAGCTCTACTTTGAGCTAATCGCAGCTCTACTTTGAGCTAACAGCAGCTCTACTTTGAGCTAACCGCAGCTCTACTTTGAGCTAACCGCAGCTCTACTTTGAGCTAACCGCAGCTCTACTTTGAGCTAACAGCAGCTCTACTTTGAGCTAACACCAGCTCTGCTCTGAGCTAACACCAGCTCTACTTTGAGCTTCAAACCAGTTGTTTCGAAACCAGCACTCCTCAATCCAAAGATGCCTCTTTGTTGACTTGTTTGTGTGAGGGATAGGGCTAATGGTGTACTAGCTGTGCTAGTACTTGTTAGCAACAATCCGAACTAGCGCACACACTGCATTGCTTTGTACTGCATTCAAGACTGACGTCATGCGCTTTGTTTTGCTGCGTAATCACAAATGGCACCAGCCCATTTTTGCGGAAAAGAAAAACAAATCTTGCTTGCCCTGTTGTGCTCTTCCAGACAACGGATCGTGCTTCAGCAGTGTTTCTTTTCCCACCATCCCTCCCTATCCAACTTATTCACACCATCATAATATTATCGTACCCACTAACCGGGTCCACTCTCACAACTGGTGTTATCTAGCTATTTGCTGCGGCTCTGCCTTGCGCTATATTACATCCATTTAGCATTGCAGCTCTACGTTGAGCTAACAGCAGCTCTACTTTGAGCTAACAGCAGCTCTACTTTGAGCTAACAGCAGCTCTACTTTGAGCTACCCGCAGCTCTACTTTGAGCTAACAGCAGCTCTACTTTGAGCTAACAGCAGCTCTACTTTGAGCTAACCGCAGCTCTACTTTGAGCTAACAGCAGCTCTACTTTGAGCTAACAGCAGCTCTACCTTGAGCTAACAGCAGCTCTACTTTGAGCTAACAGCAGCTCTACTTTGAGCTAACAGCAGCTCTACTTTGAGCTAACAGCAGCTCTACTTTGAGCTAACAGCAGCTCTACTTTGAGCTAATCGCAGCTCTACTTTGAGCTAACAGCAGCTCTACTTTGAGCTAACCGCAGCTCTACTTTGAGCTAACCGCAGCTCTACTTTGAGCTAACCGCAGCTCTACTTTGAGCTAACAGCAGCTCTACTTTGAGCTAACACCAGCTCTGCTCTGAGCTAACACCAGCTCTACTTTGAGCTTCAAACCAGTTGTTTCGAAACCAGCACTCCTCAATCCAAAGATGCCTCTTTGTTGACTTGTTTGTGTGAGGGATAGGGCTAACCAGCATGAGTGGTGCAATTTGTCCATACCATGTTGCGAGCTCACAGTTGTTTGGGCAGGTTTTGAGCTGCACCACGAAACAAAGCGAAATAACGGCGTTACTGTAGAGCAAGGAAGCGGCGAGACGGCACTTCCAGGACGAGACAGGCAGTAGAGATGTGTTCACAGCTCGAGCAACCTCTCAAACCCTGCCGGTACTCCACAGTTACAAGAAAATGTCGGACTGGACGACGCGCCAATGCAAACCTGCCACATCCAACCAGGCAGATAGCTGCAAAACCAGGCCAATGTCGACCCACTACATATCGGTATGTCAATGTCAAACAGATCCTGCAGGAGAAGACTGGGATGATATTGGCATCCAGTGTACGGACACCAGTCACATTTCCTGCGTCTTTTGCAGCATACAGGATAGACTCATCACTGTAAAGTCCACTACTTCGTGATTTTTATTTGTAGAATACATGACAGGCGTATTCAGTGTGCCTCGCAGGACTGCGAGATGCTGCAGAAGACCAGGTTCGACCTTTCTGGACCGCCATTCGCCGACGGTGGGCTACACGATGCTGGAGGAACTAGATTCCAGTGAAAACCCAAGATTCCTTTGCTCCTGGACGCTCCGACGTGTTGTGATATCTGCCAGGTGCGCAGTTACTAGTATTTTTATCGCTATAGCGAGGACGACGCCGATCGGCAAACTCTCGCTCACAGCCATCACCAGCCTCTCAAAACCATCACTTGGCATCCCCCAGAGGTATAGGAGAAAGCCAAAACAGCTCTCAACAAACAAAAGCTAAGGACGATGGAAAGAGAGCATGTCAAAAAGAAGAACAACAGTATGAAGTTCAAATGGGTTTGAACACTCGTTCCACCAACTATACCACTTTCAATAAATCGTGACGCCATTTTGTTTTAACACGCATACGGTCCATTCAGTCACTTTTGCATCAACTGTTGCACCGAAAAATGTTGCTGGCGCAAGGAGAAGCTTGTCGTTTGGAGTGACAAGTGATCACCGCTGCCTTTCTTTGTTAGAGTCAACAATACACTTTGTTCTGCAGCGTTGGGAGTGGTGTTAGTGTAGAAATCGCTGACTAGACGTCGCGGAGGGGCGAGCTTTCCTGCGCAGGTATGAGTTTGGAAGTATTTCAGAATGGTCGAGTGGAAAAATTCAAAATTGTTTGTTTCATGAAAACCCACAAAGGATGATTGGGGACATGTCCTCTGTGCTAGAAGAGGTGTTCTACTATCTGCCGCTATATAGTGTTTTCTAATTGAGGACGTAGCTCGCTGTTTTATCAGCGCTTGTAATTTGGCTATTTTCAAGACGATCATTTGTGTAGTCAAGGGATGATTGCCCTCGTCTTCTGGGATGCTGGCGTTGCTAAGTTGTGCTGCCCCAAGAACTCTTCTTAGGTGAGGTAATGTTGGCTTGATGTGGTTTTGTTCGTAGCTTGTTCTTGTACGCTGTGCCGTGGTTCGTTTGTAGACCCATAAATCGTGCCAATATTGGGTCAATTTTGAGGGGTTTGCCAATTTCATGATTCCCTTCAAAAGATTTTGCGCGAGCTTTGGAATGTCGATCGACACCCCAAAGCAAACCTACTTGCAAAATTTGAGCGAAATTTGAGAGACAGACTTACACATATGTTCTGGTTTTCTCAGACATGCTCTCCCTTTGGAGTTCGTAACCTTTTTGCTTCCGCAGAATTTGTGGCAGTCACGAAAATGCGCACTCCATTTTCAACATAACTTTGGTTCCACCTCACCGATTTTGAAGATCTTGGGCTCGTTGGAAAGCTCTTGATGAGAGAAATACAATGAGTCCACACTCGCCAAGAGCACTATTCATTGTCCGCCACAACGCGCCCCAAACACGAGTCCAGCTCCAGATTTGAGACGAAATCGGTCTCCTGTAGCCATTTCACTGGATCTAGCTCGGAACTGTTCAATTTTTTTCCAGTAGAAGCTTACCTTGCCGTGTCTTCGCGCCGCGCCGGTCCTGGCACGTGCTGCCTGTCATCAAGCTGGGAAAATCCTTTTTTTCACGCTCTGCTGGCTCGCTGCACGCACGACCGAAAAATCGAAATGTTCGATCGCTCGCCGCTCACTCAAACTTCATCGGAGAGACTTTTGACCTGTTCGAGGCGATAGCGGAGAGTTTGCTCTACCATCCAGACCCTTCGATTGTTGAATTTGATTTGGCCAAGAACCGAAAGTTTGACTGCGCCCACATGCATACAAAATGCCCATGGTTCGAAATCGAACCATTGACTCCCAAGGGTTAAGCTATACATATTATAAAGGTGATCGATCCCATAAGAGACTAAGATCAATCTTGTATCAGCTAAATAAGCCGAGCCAACAGTCCATCGTCAGATGGGGAAGTATTGAAGGGGGTGGGTGAGGGCATGGAGAGGGGAGCATCGTGAATCTATTTGAAAAGTACATTTTCATGTACTTTATTCTGTACTTACATTCCATAAAGAGGTTGAATAAAGGCGTACTAACAACCCCGACTTGACTTCCTTTTATTGAGCAGTGTGAGGATGATTTTACTAACACGGTAACCGATGATGGACCATAGGACTGGCGCTTCAGAGCATCTTGAAAGTTATGGAATGCGTAACTCACACAACAAGGACTGGAACCACAGGTAACCGTTTCACCCCAAGTAGGACTGTAATCTCCACGAACGACAGTGTACGTCACGTCGCAATGACTACCACGTCCAACCATGAAATTGATGTTCGCAATCTTCATATTACATCTGCCCAAAACCCTGAAGGTCGTGAAATGTGCGATCAAGGTAGAAACGTCAATCCATGCTACTGTGGTGTTCGGTAAGGTACTGTAGTACACAATCCCTGGTCTCCCGGAAACAACGCGTTCTTCACTTAGCCCGCTTCTCATTCTGCATGCTACATCACTGTGCGCAACTCTGATGACTGTGCTGAACATAAACAATGCTGGACACACAAGAGCAATGCACACAGTGAAAGAATTATAGCACCTCACTCGACCAGTTTATTATTATAATAAGTTAAAACCCTTTACCATCCGTGCGTACTTGAATCGATCCATAGAGATCGATGGATATGCATATTATAAAACATTCGTAACTCAAATTATTCTTGTCGGAATTCAAAGGACTAAGTATCTAGGAAGACGCCGAAGAGCCCACCTTTCAATTGCATTGATTGGTGAGGAGCTGCAATGTCGCATTCTAAAGATATTTTGCTCGACATTTCAGCTACGGCAAAATTCGATTTTCTTTTCGAGTGACTGACTTAGAGCGGGGATTTTCCCCTCTCCTGACATGCTGAGTAACTTTGGCATGCATTTTTGGAATGTTTACTATGAAGGAGCGAGAAATGGCTGGCGAGGAGAGAATTTCCTCGTATATCCAGCGATGGGGTCCATTTAAAGCACCCTGGCGCTGGACATGTGATCTCGGTGGTGTTCTGTTTGAGCTCAATGTACGCAGCTCGTGGAGCGCTTTCCAGAATGCCCAAGATTGTGAAAATTGGTTGATTAGAACCGAAGATATTCTCAGAATAAGTTGAGAATAATTGCATTCGGGACGGCTGGGGAATTTTGGTCGGATGGTAAAGGGTAAATGAATTCGATGAAGCTTGTTTCCACATTAGTTGGCAGGAACACACGCTCCAGGTTCTTGAAAATATTCTGAACCTTTTACAATGTAATTTCTGTGCCTTCTTTTCCGGTGATAACAAGACAAGGGACCAAGAATGATAAAATGTATTGCCCATAGACATACCGTTAGAAACAATGACAAAGAAGGGGGAAGTGGGAAGAAAAAAAAGAAGCGTAGTGCAACGACAATGGACAGCCAAGGTCATAACGTAGTTTTTGAATGTTTTGGAAGCTGTAAATATTCACGCCAAAAAACCTAACCTATGCAAAAGATGTAAAGAACTCTTCGTGTCCTCTCCTCCATGCGCTCTCACAGCCGACTCACTGCTACCCTCGGTAGCCATTACACACACCAACCAAGGAAGGGTTGCAGGTAGATACTGAAATTCCTGCTGACAGCTGTTTCGCTTTCATAGGGCTCATCAGATAAGGTGATATTGAATAGGATGATAATAGGTGGAGATGGTCAGATTTATACTACAAAACATGGGCGCAAGATTACGGGCAAAGTGTGAGAATGAGAAGTAACAATTCTCCAGCAACACAGTGCCAGGGGTTCCAAGAAAATGGCAGATGAGAAATCCAATCACAAGCTGCTAACATTAATTTTTTTCTTTCTTACGGCTAGGTGATAGTTTAGGAATTTTGGCGAGCCACCAAACAAGGACGAGTGAAAGAAAGTAGAGTACTAAGCGTGCAGTGCACCAAAAGTTACAAAGAGTGCACACACGCATGAATGGACTGTAGTTACATGTAATAATAATAATAATAATAATATTCGCGGGATCCGCGTCGGCATCGCTTGAATGTTCAGAAACACACAAACTAGCCTTCGCATCCGTAGGCCACCACTATGCCTGTTAACCTTAGTGGCGAATGCAGACCTCACAAGTGAGTCAGGGGAGAGGAGGCTAGTCTCTCAACCAATTGGGCGTGTAACGGCCCATAACCCTGTAAACTGCATCCTTGTTATTCTCACTCCGAGCTGTGAGTACCCAGTTGACCGTGGGTGTCGGCGCAGTTCAACACGCGTAAAAAGTCTTTTTACACGCTCCCTGCTACCAGCGCGGGTCTTGAACTCGGGACCTCATGATTCGCAGGCAGGCCTGCAAACCAATCGGCCATATGCGTTGGTGACATAGTTACATGTAGATCTACTTTTCACTTGGGCAGTTCTCCTGCCAACCGCGCACGCATGCAGAGACGCACCACGTCGACTGTCCCCGCAGAGTCCCCCTCCGGCGTTCTCCCGAGCAACAGATCTCCGCTGGTCGTTACACCTTGCTGCGCCCCGTACGTGGCCGCACCGACCGCTACCTCGCGCCGTCCCCATTTGCGCATCCGTTGCTCGCTGCCGTTGAACGTCGAGACAACCCGGCCGAGCGTGGCGAAAGCAGAAATGAGAGTCCTAGGAGGAATTCGCTCGTCTGCCCCCACAGCTGAGTTGTCGACGAAGAACATGCTTGCACGATAATGACACCGCTCTCTTCCTTCCATTATCGACACACTGCTTTAGCAGCTTGTGATTGGATTACCCACCTGCCATTTTTTGGAGCCCCTGGCACTGTGTTGCTGGAGAATTTTTGCTTCTCATTCTCACACTTTGCCCGTAATCTTGCGCCCATGTTTTGTAGTATAAATCTGACCATCTCCACCTAATATCATCCCATTCAATATCACCTTCTCTGATGAGCCCTATGAAGGCGAAACCGTTGTCAGGAGGAATTTCAGTATCTACCTGCAACCATTCCTTGGTTGGTGTGTGTAACGGCTACCGAGGGTAGCAGTGAGTCGGCTGTGAGAGCGCATGGAGGAGAGGAGAGGAAGAGTTCTTTCCATTTTACTGGCCGAATAGTACCGGTGACCATTTGAAATACCTACGACTGTGCGCCAGTGGAGCGGTACTTCAGTGAGTGTGTCGATAATGGAAGGAAGGGAGCGGTGTCATTATCGTCGAAGCATGCTCTTCGTCGACAACTCAGCTGTGGGGGCAGACGAGCGAATTCCTCCTAGGACTCTCATTTCTGCTTTCGCCACGCTCGGCCGATTTGTCTCGACGTTCAACGGCAGCGAGCAACGGATGCGCAAATGGGGACAGCGCGAGTTAGCGGTCGGTCCGGCCACGTACGGGGCGCAGCAAGGTGTGACGGCCAGCGGAGATCTGTTGCTCGGGAGAACGCCGGAGGGGGACTCTGCGGGGACAATCGACGTGGTGCGGCTCTGCATGCCTGCGCGGCTGGCTTGAGAACTGCCCAAGTGAAAAGTAGATCTACATGTAACTACAGTCCATTCATGCGTGTGTGCACTCTTTGTAACCTTTGCTGCACTGCACGTTTAGTACTCTACTTTATTTCACTCGTCTTTGTTTGGTTGCTCCCCAAAATTCTAAAACTATCACCTAGCCATTAGGAAATTAATGTTAGCAGCTTGTGATTGGATTTCTAACCTGCCATTTTCTTAGAACCCCTGGCACTGTGTTGTTGGAGAATTGTTACTTTTCATTCTCACACTTTGCCCGGAATCTTGCGACCATGTTTTATAGTATAAATCTCACCATCTCCACCTAATATCATCCTATTCAATATCACCTTCTATGATGAGCCCTATGAAGGCGAAACAGCTGTCAGGAAGAATTTCAGTATCTACCTGCAACCCTTCCTTGGTCGGTTTGTGTAATGGCTACCGAGGGTAGCAGTGAGTCGGCTGTGAGAGCGCATGGAAGAGAGGAGAGGAAAAGTTCTTTACATTTTATTGGCCGAATAGTACCGTTCACCATTTGAAATAATTACTATGGAAAAGAAGCAGATTAAATCACTAGTAGTTGGCAAGACAATCCTTCTGATTAGATGACAACGAAACTGTTTAAGAGTACTGAATCGTAGCGAATTGTGTGTGTGTGTGTGTGTGTTTAATACGCAACTTGCTCTACTTTTGTCTCCTTTGAAATCTGTCACTAAAGTTTGAGAATATTTTCGAACAACATGATTTGTGCGCTCCTACTAAGTGTTTAACTATAATTTCTCGGAAGACGCTAACATTTTTTGTAACTAGGGTTGCCTCTAAAATACCATTTCTATAGCCTGCAGAAACAAGAACCCACAAGCTCGGGTAAAAATTCATTCAACTGCGTTCGGCATATCTTCCTCGTTCCCGAAGTTTGGCCTGCTGTAATTATGATCGCAAACGTCATCGTCTTGATGTATTTTTAGCAATACAACTGTGAAACACAATAGTTCGAGGAAGGGTGTCATGCGTGTTCTCATCCTATAATTGTAACACATTGTCATCTAACTTGAGTATTACAACCGTACAAAAACGGGTATAGCAGAGTCAAAGAAAGTTCGTTCACAGGCTTACCCATCGGCATGAACACTTTGTAGCTTAGATACACCTGACACATTTTCGTTGGGCTGAACCATTTACAGTGTGCTCTTTGCATGGGCCGAATCATCCCCGTCGCCAAGTTCAACACTTAACGGACAAGATCATCGGATAATCCCCAGTGGAGGTGAAGCTGCTCCAACCAAACAGTCAACACAGGCCTCTATATTTTAAAACAAAAATCGAGACATTAGCTGATAACTGGGCACCTCATCTATCCTGCAGCGATCTAGGAAGCACACGCTATCTGAGCACGGAGCTTTATCAACTCAGATATACATTTTGTCTGACTTCAGAATTATGGTTCTTGCAGAATAAAACGGTGTGAATGCATTACACACCAGGATCACTGGGAAATAATTCAATCCACCTTTCAGGACATGCAAGCGATAATAGCATGGAATAGGCTGTCACTCTATCGTGATGCGCATCTGAGATCCTGAAGCAAGCACGGAAAATATCATCCTGCGTATTTCATGCATCATGACACAGTCTGCTTAGAGGATGCTATGGGATAAGCTATGCGCTACAGAAAACTAGAATGAATAGCCTGCAGTAAACGCATTGGATGTGTAGGATGCTAGTGGTTGCCCAGAACAAGGAAACACTAAACTCCGAACATATAGCCGATGTTGTGATGCATGCCATACATCCTAATTTGTCCACAAAGTCTATGTTCGCCAATGAATGCACAGTGTCATTGCATGTGGT